TTTGTAGACTGATCTGGATGGAATCTCTAAAGCTTCAATATGCATAATTGTAATCATATAGCAGGAAGTGAGGATCATCACAAGAAACTCTATTTACCTCTCAGCAAAATTCATGAAAGCAGAACTTGTAAACACTTCCCTTTCCCCTCATGCTAGCATTTCTGCACTGGGAGTTCCTAAGAGGGAGCCCTGAGCAGATACCAAGGGCAGACGTAGCTGTCAAGCAGCTCCCATCCTGAAAGTCACAGGATGGGACATTCAGGGAAGAGCTTGTTATGGTAAAAGCTCAGGCTTACTGACAGGCAACATGATGACCTTCTTAAACTGTCTTGCAGTCTAGATGTATCTGTTGTTAGTTCTCTTACACAACTGCAACATGATTCGCTGCTTTCATAACCAAATTCATTACTTCGTGCTAGTCTAGTTGATCAAAATACAACAGATTAAAATAATCTTCCCCATCCATATCACACATATTCCTTTACTCCCTTGGTCTCTCACCGTGGCTAGTGCCAAGTCCCCATTCTCATGCATCTGTATTTGCCTCTTTTTCTGCCTCCATTGCAGAAATCTTCCCCTCTTCAACATTTTTCGCTGTCGCTGCAGTTTACACAGTAGGCATCTCCTGCTGTGCTGGTCCTTTGTCTGTTCCTCATCCACCTCTACTTGATTTCAAATATAGTAGTTTAGGTACTTTATTTGAATTTCTTTATTTCACTGCCTTCGTTTACCTGCTGTTTTTTATTTTACTTTTTATCTCAATTCTGACATATCCTGGCAGATTGGTAAATATCTACATATTTATATTTATTAGGGAATTGATGTAAAAACTGACTACTTTCATCGCTCTAAAAAACGTGTCTTTTTCTCCTTTATTTTTACATCCAAAGCACCCAAGGCAGACCTGAACAAGAATACAGAAGAAAATGTAGGCTTTTTCCTAAAGCACTTTTTTTGAGAGATTAATGAATCATTACATTTTGGCAATATAGAGACAGGTCTTCACTGTGGTCCAAGGAATGCTTCTCATCATAACGAAGCCTTATGAGACACTGCAAGCCTCCAAAAATAGCTCTGGGAGGTCCCTGTGTTAAAAATTGAACGTATTTTCTGCTCAGCAGCCAATGTCCCAGTTTCTGCACACCTCCTTTGGGATGGTTGCACTCCAGACAGCTCAACAAGAGCAGTTGTCTTGTATCTAGCAGGATGAAGGTCCTGCAGTTGTGACCGGCTCACTGGGGAAGCAGAACAGTCAAAAGGGAAATAAATGTGTTAATGAGCATTAGATAGTAATTAAATTTGACACAGTTGCAGTTAAGCACTTCCTTGTATTATTACATATTTTGAAAATCGCCTACTCATTTGCTATAATTATATACTCAGTTGTTAGAAAAAGAGGATAGCAGACTGAGCTGAACTAGACTGTGTAGTCTAAAATGAGTGTAGGCACACAGCTATGCTGTGATTTTACAGGGGAGCAAAGTGAGTTGGACTAATGACTGTTCTTTTGTTAGGGAGTGATTTTTACTTCAGCAACAATGTCCTTGCTCTGCGAGGAAAAAGGGGAAAGAGCTGTAAGGTGAAAATAAAAAGGCAATAGACACCCGGCATGAGTGGTGCCCTGGTGGGAGTGCTGCGGCCTCAAACGAGCGCGAGCTCCTGCTTAAGCAGCTGGGCAGTAGCATCGTGTCCAGCTGCCCCATTTCAGAGGAAGGGGGGATGAGGAAAGCCATGTGCTGCCTGCTCTAATTGCAGGTGGTTCTGCTGAAGCTCGCCAAAGCAGTGTGTAACTAACAGCCTCACTTCTCTTCCCCAAACTGAGATGAGTCACGCTAGATTGCTAGATGTACCCTGTGTGCAGAGCTTAGTCAGCTGAAAGAAATCAAAGTGAGAAAAGAATTATAATCCTGGCAGGATGGATATTGTTTATTGGAATAAAGCGGGGTGTTTATGGCATGTGATTTACAGACAAAATTTTTATTTACTGTAATTTGAACCAGTGTGATTGAGCCAACAGAAATGAATTTTCAAAGAATTAAAGACACTTTTCAGGACTGAATCTGAATTCCACAGAAGAGAGGAAAGAAGGATTTTCTGTCTGCAACACTGACACTACCAGTGCCTGTAGTGTCAGAGAGAAAACACAGATCTATTCTTAACAGTTTAATCTATCAGTATATTTGAACACAGTTATTATCATCATGAGTTACTGTGTAATTACCATTGTTCCAATAGAGTTACTGTTTCATTGCTATTTAATTAGGTGCATTATTTCACAGTAACTATGCGGTTTAACACTTGTCACTTTGAAATAAATGTTCTGGGGTAGGCAGAGACATAACATAATCAGCTTCATAGGCATGACCTGGCTGCAGGAAATGTATATGAAGTGAGTTGCTGATGTTGCTTACCTGTCTTTTTGAGAAGCCATATAGACAGAGCAGTTCATACCTTGGTCATTTAAGTTAAAAATGAGTTGTGAATATCTTTCATGGTGTGTTAGAACAAAAAATAATGCCAGAATTTGAAAAAAAAAAAAAAAGTAATGTCTACAAAAGCAAGAGGGCAAGCTTGTTTAGTAAATTATTCCACTTGGATAACTAAATCCAGCTACAATATGTATATGCATTTGTTGCCAACATAAGAGCTTTTACAACTGAACACTTTTCATACAAGTATCATGACTGTCATGTGATGGCAGCTAATAGTATTGCTGCCTCCTCATTAAAGATGTTGTCTGCCAAAATAAGGGTAAGGGATGAAGTTCAACAACCCTGGTAATTTCTAAGCCAAAAAGACTTTCATGCTGTAAGCTTAATAAAGGATCACGTGAAACTGCCTTCTATTAAAAGTTCAGTAATTCAGTTAACTATTTGAGGTATATTCAAAGGAACACAAAGGCTTTTGCCTTTTTAGCATTACTTGGCACTCTGCATAGGCAAGCATTCTTGTAGATGGGGAAAGCAGCAACCCTACGTTTCTCTGAGTGTTTCCAGTGATTTCTGATAAAAGTGGGTGAAGGAGGCAGTGACTGTGTTATTAAAACCTTGGTGCTGTGGAGCCAGAAGTCACATAGTGTGTTGTGAGGGCTTTATCTCAGACCAGTTGTAGTCTAGTGCTTTGAGCTGAACACTCCATTAGTAGTTGGGAACACATTAGATGCTCTCTTTCAACATGGCTTTTGGTCTGGTTTTATCCAAAGACTCTCCTTTTTCAGTCTTCTGTATTATTTGAACTGTAAGTGGGGGTGATTGACTGCATAAGTACCCTCCTGAACTGAACAGAAATGTTGGTGTATATGCAAAGAGAAGGAGTTGCCACCAGTGGTACTCCACTGCCTGCTTCTCCTTCTGCCTGAGTAAAATCTGTAAATTCTGACTAAATTCTAAGAGAGAGCTTAGTAGAGCATAGACAGTCCTTAATGGCGGTAAAGCATTAGGAAAAATGAGATGAGGAAAAGGGAAAAAACTGTAAGGTCTTGATGGCTGAAGCATGTTCCTAGTCCCCTCAGGGGGACACATGAGACTAATGCAGTGCAATGCTCCTGTCCGGTCAAAACTCGAACCAGAGACTTTCTGTCAATTGAAATAGCACTTACCTCCCAAATACTAGTGGAGATAGGTATGTATATGAAGGTGCTGTGAAATTTAAAACACTATGTTTCTTGCTGCTGGAAGTGAGAAACAGACCAGTTTTTAAACAAGATCTACAATGTCTAAATTTGGAAAATAGAACACTTCTTAGCATGGAAAGAGCAAGAATCTAGGTGAAAGCTGCTATCTGAGTCACGAGTACTTGGAACTGGGAGCTGAAGCAGAGTAACATCAAGATTGCATCTTGCAAAGAAAGGAGAATGGCATATTAGCATGCAGACACGTCCTAGGGTGCATCTTACTGAATGGTATTCAAGTGTATGTTGAGCTTACTTGTGTAATGAAATAGTAATGGATGCACTAAATGAGAAGAGTGGATAACATCAGTGTGTGGCTGAGAGATGAAAACAGCCCATCGCTGAAAAGTTGCAAACCTTGCTTTGTGTGAAGGTCATAGTGCTTGTGTTGCAGCAGAGCCAGTCAAAAGAAGAAAAAAGCAGAATGAACAAGATGTGATAGATGTAAAGAATAATTTTATACAAGCATGGCAATACATCTGTTAAAAATGAAAATTACACACTGCAAACATGATGACTCAATGCCCTAAAGACAGAGAAAACAGCCACCAGCAAGAAAGAATAAGCTGTCAAAATATTCTGATTTAAAGTAGCAGAAAATGTTATAGAATAAAAGTATTGTGGAAAATGATATCTAAATTCTTAAAATATTCAAAAGAAGCTATGTATTTCTGTGGCTTATATATAGACAGGGTATATACAGGCAGAATTTCTCGCATGGGAAAGAAAGAAAACTTTAAAAATTATGCTCAGAAAAATCCAAAGAAAACTAAAAGAAAACTAATAGTAACTTTCCATGAGATCATGAATTGTACGCTAAAAGTCTAAAAGGAATGATAAACTGGACAAAGTAGATGAATTCTGAAGGAGATTCATGTACTTCAGTACTTCTCACAGACCTAGAAATGACTATAATGTACTAAGATGAAGGATGACAGAACCTGCACTTTTATATTTACTTATATTTACTGTAAACCACACAGTTTTCTAATATTTCTAATACTGTGCAGCATTCTCACAGAGATGATCTAGATTCAATCCAAACCACATTCTTCATTTAGGAAGAGAGTGTTCACTATTAACTTTTGCCAGATTCCTTATTATCATTGGAATATCCAAGTGCTCTATAGGCCTTTAAACAACATGCACTCTGAATAAGAGAGCTCATTAATTTGATCCAGCAGATTTGATAGAACATGTATTATTCAAAAGACTATTCTGTATAAAGTATTAAGTCTTACTTTAGAGAGTTAATGCAGCAAGTTCAATGTATCAGTGAAATACAACCTTATATCAGGATTATTCACTGCTTTTTCTTCTCTCTACTCAGGTGTTTTGGGGTTCTCTGAAAACTGGCGTTGCAAGGCAAAATTCCTTTTGAGCTAATCTCTGAATAGAAGATAACCATGAAGAGAACCATGTGCCTCATAATCAGTCATCTTGTTGCACTGTGTTTTGTCCTCTGTCTCGCAGGTAAGATGACCTCCCATGTTAAGTAATTTAACTATACTTTTCCCTGTTATGTGCATTTCAAGGTCATTTCTTCTATTTGTATGAGTTTGTGCAGATACAGTGAATTATTCAACATAAATAATGAAGCTATAAGGAAGCATACATCAGGAAGCCATAATTAAAAGCTTGAAAAATTCTGATCTTGACTTCAAATTCCTTTTTCTCTATTGCAATTTAGTATATGAAATTAATTCTTTCTCTGTATTCATCTAATCTCTAATTCATCTATAGATTAATTTAATATTATAAAAAAAAAGTCAATCCTCTATTAGTTCACAGATGAGCACTTTGAATAGAAAACTGGGAATATGCGGATGAGAAGAGAGACTACACACAAAATTTAGTGCTGTAATACCACACCACTTAATAAAGTCATCATTTGCTACCAGGACAATACAAGGTAGTTTTCATAAGACAGCATGTTAATGCAGCATATACTGACTCTAGTTCAAGATTACACTTGGAAATCTTTACATAAATAGATATACATCCATGAACTTTCAAACTTTTTAAAATTTAAACTCTTTTTTCTATTTAGAAAATTAAAATTCAGGATTAAATTGAAGTGGCCAGTGCTTATTCCAGTTCTTCCAATACGGAATTTTACAACTTTCCATACAAATGTTAGTTTTCATTTGCCATCATGAATCAGATGGCTGTTACAAGCAAAGCTCCTCTCAAGGAAGAGCATGCTTATGTACTAACTGTGCGAACTGAGTTCTGAGCATGAAAAAAGAAGGATAACTAAGCTGTGCATGCACAAAATACTGACTGGCATTTGTTCAAATGTTCCATCAAAATATTGTATACTAATAATTTAGTTATTTTCTAATGCATATCACATCAGTTTGTAGATCCTTTTCTGCTTCTATAGAAAAGTTACTGATAGGATACTTCTACTATGATTTTTTTTTCTGTGTTGGGGTTCTTTGTGTAAATAATGGGTCCTTAAGCAGCCTACAGTCTTGCTTTACCTAGCCTACTTTTTCAGACTTTGTAATGTTATCATTATCATGAGATCATATTGTCTGTATTACTTAATTCAAAAATCTGATTAATCCTCTGATACAAGCCCATTGCATTTAAGAAATCACTTCATAGCTCACAGGAATGATTTCTGATTTAGTGAGAATGCAACTATATTCTTAAAGAAATTTGAACTATTCCTAGCTGTGTATTCCATGATAGAGTTCACTGAAGGATATATTAACATCTAATAAAAATCAAGATCTTAAAAATGTTGTAATCTAAGGATGGCTCTGTATTTCAAGGTCTTTTTCTTTTTTCAGATCTGAGGGCTGCTGATAGCATCAAAATAAAAGATTAAAATTTATTATTCTAATACTGGGCTTTTCCTAGACAGAGGCTGTCAGGAGCAATCAGGGATGTTACACATGTAATTTCAGGCCTGACATGTAGAGATTTGTATGCAACAAAATCGTCCAACAGTAGCCAAGTGCTGGATGTGGAATCACAGAATCAAACAAAATGGCTGAGATTGGAAGGGACCCCTAGAGATCATCTAGTCTAACCACTCTGCTCCAGCAGGGACACCAAGAGGCACAGGGCGGCACAGGGCGGCATCACAAGAGGTTTTGAAGATCTCCAAAGAAGGAGACTTCACAACCTCCCTGGGCAGCCTGTTCTATGGCTCTGTTACCTTCACAGGAAAGAAGTTCTTCCTCATTTGGAGATGGAACTTCTTGTGTTTTAATTTATACCCATTACCCCTTATCCTGTCACTGGCCACCACTGAGAAGAGTTTGGCTCCATCTTCTGTACATTCTCCCCTCAGGTACTTATATGTATTCATCAGATCCCCTCTCAATCTTCTCTTCTGCATGCTAAACAGGCCCAGCTCTCTTAGTCTTTCCTCATCCAACAGGTGCTCCACTCCCTTACGGGTCCCTTTGGTTCATAATAATGTTATATGAGTCAAACACTGAGAACAAACACTTTTTTTTTTTTTTGAAGGGTAGCACCAAATGGTTACTTGTATATTGTGTGTATTGCAGTTGTTCCCAGAAGCCAGAAATCTTGGTTACAGGACATACCATCCGAGGTGCCTTAAAGACACTTCAGAAAATAGTATGCTATTAGGATCACTAACACATGAAATGGGAAGAACAAAGATGTGCAAAATGAACTTGCATGAGTATGCATTGATGTGTTCATAGCAATATACTTTTGTCCATTTTCTTGACAGTAATCAGTTGTGTTAGCTAAATCTACGAAAAACAGGAGGCACCAGTGCAAAGTTTTTTGCGTGGAGGGAAGTTTTTAATAGTGCTGTCTGTAAAAGGCATCTTCATTTCAGAGAAAATTCCTAACTTATTTTGCAGTATGCATAATCCAATCCAATCCCATCCAGGACTTGTTCACATTTTTCCTCCAAAAAAGAAGTATGAGGCCTACCACCACCTCAAAGGAATATGGTATGGTCCTCCACTGTGGAAGACCAGTAGTTTCTAGAGTCAATGAGACTGATTGATACCCAAGGCTAGGTAGCACTCCACTCTCTACTGTTGAACTTGCTTTAATTTACTTAAATAATGAGATATCTATTTGAGTTGTAAGAATTTTTGCCTTTGTCCTCTAGTCCTTACTGTACCCTTCTGGATTATATAAACTAGAAGTTGCAGCCCTCCTTTTGCACAAGAACTTGACACTTGCTGGAGGAGCTCTGATTTCAAATGAGTGCCATCATGTCTTGGCAATTTTCTTCTTTAATGTGTTTCGTGGAAATATGAATGTCATGGAAACCAGAAAATATATAGCTGCAGTAATCAAGATGAAATGTAAGGAGTTGTTTGAGAGCTTTGACTGTATGATTAACAAGTGAAGAGTAGTTGATGTGGAGGAAGAAAAAGTACACTTCAGGCAATCTGGTCAAATCTCAGGAGGTGTTCTTGTACACATGAAATTGCGAAGGTGAATGCTGACAATGTCAACAGTGCTAGAGAGTGTGGGAATTGGGATGATTTCAAATAAATAAATAAATAAATAAATAAAAGCCCAGAAGTTCTTCTTTCAATAACAAGACCAAAGATTAGAATGAGGAGATGAGTTAGCATTGGAGCAAATGTTGAAAGCAAAATGTTCTTCATGGGGCCCATTCAAAAAGTTACTTCAGCAACTTTTAACAAACTATGTAGTTTTGTTGGAAGGATATTTGGTCCACCAAGATACCTTTTCCCCTGTGTTGCTGAGTCACAGAATCACGGAATCACAGAATCACAGAATTACAGAATCACAGAATGGTTAAGGTTGGAACCCCTAGAGGTCATCTAGTCCAACCCCGCTGCTCCAGCAGGCACACCCAGAGCATGTGGCACATGGCGGCATCCAGGAGGGTTTTGAAGATCTCCAGAGAAAGAGACTCCACAACCTCCCTGGGCAGCCTGTTCCAGGGCTCTGTCACCCTCACAGTAAAGAAGTTCCTCCTCACATGGAGATGGAATTTCCTGTGTTGCAGCTTGCACCTATTGCCCCTTTTCCTGTCACTGGCCACCACTGAGAAGAGCTTGGCCCCTTCCTCCCTACCTTCCTCCTTCATGACCTTATACATGTTAATCATATCCCCTCTCAGCCTGCTCTTCTCCAAGCTAAACAGGCCCAACTCAGTCTCATACAAGAGATGTTCCAGTCCCTTCATCATCTTTGTTGCCCTCTGCTGCACCCTCTCTAGAAGCTCCATGTCCCTAATTTTAAGTCCACAATTTTAAGTGGTTCTACCATGGAAATTGCTTTTGGGTTGACAGATCCATGGCACTGTTGCCCTGAAACAGACCTACCAGATGAACTGCTCTGGAGCCAGGAAACTTAAAACTTTCAGAGTCAATATCTTTTGAGATGTTTCACTGTATGGTCTGTCTCAGATTTGAAGATACCAACCAAGAATCCCAAAACTCTTGAGAATTCATGCTTCGAGCTGTGAGAGTTTCCAGATTTACCTGCTGGAAGCATTTGAAAAACACAGAGCTAGAAAGCTGAGAAATTGAAAGCCACCCTGACGCGAGAAGTTCAGAATTTGGCTTGAAAGGGTCACATTTATTTTGACACTTAGTGAAACAAGAATTCTTACTTGTTTTCAATTATTTTTCCTGCTGTAGGAAATTTACTTCCCCCCCCCCCCCCCAAACTGAAATGTTTATTTTTATTCTTTTGGAATTTGCTTGGGATTAAACATTCTGACTTTTAACCAGTATTGTTTTTGGGCAGATTTTAAAAAACACTGCATGGCTGTCCATTGCCCATTAATGGGGAATCTAGAGTTACTTGAATGTCAGGAAACAAGCACTGCATGATCAATGCACCTGAGATGTAGGCAGAGATTGTCTTCTGCAGTGAGATAGGGAAAATGTTTAGTTTCTAGGTAAATTAGTGCTTTAAATGTACTCTTGCAGATATAAATCGATGAAAAAGCCGTAAGTAATTTGGCCTTTCACTTCCTGGATATAACAGACAGTTATAATAAGGGTTGCTTTTCGGAGTGCACTTTGAGCAGTGCAAGGCAAATGAGAGCAGCAAATCACTCCTCAGGGAATATGGTGATGAATGTCAGTCCACTGCCAGAAAAGTTATTTCATGCCTTTTAATGGTAATATTTGACTCTTCTCCTTTTTCCTTTGACGACTGTGCTCACTCCAAGACACTTCTAAGTTGCAAGACTTCTTGTTCAGATTCATATTTTAATGCTGACTCTGTATTTTAGACTCCTCTCATCATGCTCATCCCATACAAATCAGTTATCCAAACAATGGGATGATGACCTTGGGCCAAAATGATTAATAGTCCATTTCAGCAGCAAGCTTACTTTGTTTCTTTCTCCAAAAGACAAATTAAAAACTGCAAAAAAGGCCTTATTTTCTTTTGCTCATGAATACTTCATTACATTTGGATATAAGAGGAATGAATAGCAAAAAAATGTCACTGTATTCTTCAGATGTTTTCTTTCTAAT